AGCCGGAGCCACAGAATAGGGACAGACTATCGACAGTAACCCCTTCTGTAGTTTTTATCTGTTCACCTGTTCATTCTGCACCACATGTATAGATCCTACAGCCCTGAGTTTGCTTATCAAACCGGAAAACGTTGACCGAACTGACTGATTCTGGCAAGCTTCCCTGTTTGGGCACATAGTTAATCAGGACAGCATTTTAAATTGTTTATAAAGTGCCAAAAATCGGCTGAAAGTAAAAATAATAATTCATAAATAATAATGATAAAATAGTTATACATCATCTGAAAACTGTAGGGGCTTACATTATTTGATGTGCTTACCTAAAAATAATTCGTCTGGTCCCTCTCAGTCTGAGGTTTTACGGCTCCCAGCAACAATACGCCCTATTCACTGACTTCCGGTCAGAACTTTGAAACGACCAACTTGCAGGTACACTTATCTCTCACATATTTAGTGAATTATTGGCTCACTGATACTACACTTAAGCCCATATTGGATGTGTGCCGGCCAGAGTATGGACGGCTGAAGATATGTGTCCGCCTAGCTTTGTCCTCGCTACTACAGACTTGAGGTATCCCAGTTTTTAGCGAGCGTACTTCACTAACCAAGAGGTCCGCATTTCGAACCCAATCGTAGCGTCTTAACCGGTCCTCTCTTAGCTTGGGCAACCTGCCTCCTTCGGGTAGCATGACAGCTATGCACCGAAAGAGGGTTACAGCTGAACGTATAATACTCATTATTACTTCTTTGCTGTTAGATGCATCAAGCGGATATAACGGATGCAACAGCTATTTCATGATACACGTGTTCTTTGTACAGGCAATTTTTTCATCTCTTATAGACTATCATTTCTTCACTCACCTTTTCCCGCAAACGAAAACGTGTTCTTCTATATAGAGTGCTGTAATCGATACAGAGAATTATGAACTCATGACAGAACAATGACATTCTCAGTCGGAGTGTTTCAACCGTTTCGATAAAAACACATATATATATACATGTATCGTTTACACATATTTATAATCAAAGTTAAACAAGTAGAAGATATAGTAAGGTTTGGTGGTTGTACATTGTTCACCAATCTGTGCAATTAATCTCTGTCTTTGAAATGAACAAAATAGTTTATGCCAGTATTTGTCAATCTACTTCATTTGGCTTTTTTGAGAACGATTTTTGCAACCGTATCATGCAGAAACAAGTGTAATTCATTTTCATAAAGGAAACTACTCACAAGGTTGCTGAAAACGCTTCGACAGACGACGACCGGTTTCGCCCTTCTTGGGGCTCATCAGGTAGGCGCAGTCCCCGAGTTTCCGTCAACCTTACGTTCTACTTGAACCCAAGTCGGACCGTTTTTCGAGAAATGCACTCATTTGCAAATCAATTTGATTTCCACGAGAGATTCAACTGAATCTCTCGTTTATGATATTCTACAACTGAATGTGCTGCACACAGGCCACCTCATGATTGAGTTGGACCAAACACAACAGTATGAGACAGCAAATCAAAAAACAATAAACAAGGATAGCACTGGAGACACATTCAACCCATCGAGGGATTCAAGGGGAGAAACTGGCGTACGGAAAAGCAGTCCAACCAGGATAAGGCAAGACTAGTCACAAACGTGGTCTTCTACATAGGTCTGGTCGACTAATGGCCAAAGCTCGAGTAAGTAGTAGTAATAGTAGGGTCTGGATGACATTTTGGTGTATACTGGATCAAATTAGTCCTACCCGGTGTTGTAGTCGCAAACGGTCTCAAATTGGTCCATTAGGAGTATCTCTAGTGTCCTCAATCAATCTATGGTTAGAACCTAATTGAACCAGGAACAAAGCACAATTTTTGATGAAAAGATAAACGTAAACTTCGACCTCAGCCGACTACATCCTCCTGCTTCACGATACGCCATTTTTAATACGTGTCTTTTGTCAAAGGTTTCTAAGTTCACCAGTCCTCTACCACATAGTTTTCGTTCACGGGAGCTTCTTGCTCATTCGTCTGGTTTAAGTGACGTCACTGGTGATTTTTTGTTGTCACTGACATCCGGTGACCCGAGCCATCGGTATTGACCGGGGAATAAATTGAATCTAACACACGCGTTCAATTTGAAAATCCCCACATTTTCGCCGGTGGCTGTGTCGTTTGATAGACCTGTAGACCTCTCACCATGCGTGGTAAACTACGTTCATCAATGTGTGAGATTCAGAAGTGTATGTCCGAATGCAGGAACACCCATTTTTGCTTGTGATCGGTAAATAAGTGGGTTATTGCAAAACGACAGAGCGATGTTTCGCACCCCATTTCAACCAAAGCCGAATCCTGTTTCCTTGCGTGAGATCAACAGGGGGGGGGGCAAACTTCAACCCTAGTCTACGAGACCTAGCAGAATGTATTGCAGGGAATTTCTGTGAGTAAAAAAACCTGGAATGAAAACGGGACAACACTACTCAAAGTAGTATCGAAACCGTGTACAAAAGCAACACAACGTTTTAGGTTTTTCAGTGTGAGACAACCAGATTTCATCATTGAAACTTACTTCTTCTCCACTCCATGTCTGGACTATTTTGCATCACTTATATTTTTGTGAATTATTTGTTATCTCTCTGAGTACATCTCTTATATGCATGTCAGAACTCACGTTATTCCGTCTGATGGTATTTGAATTGGAGCGATGGAACAGCTCGTTCCATAATTTAATCGATGATTCTACACTGTTCATCAATCTATGTATATACTTTCTCAGTCTTTGACAAGAAAAAACGGTTTACGCTTGTATTTGACAATTTACTTTATTTGGCTTTTTCGGAAGGATTTCCGTAACCGTATCATGCAGAAACAAGTGTAATTCTTCTTCACAAAAGAAACTACTCACAGGGTTGCTGAAAACTCTTCGACAGCCCAAGACCGGTTTCGACCTTCTTTGGGTTCATCAGGTAGGCGCAGTCCCCGAGTTTCCGTCAACCTTATGTTCTACTTGTACCCGAATTGGACTGTTTTTCGAGTAATACACTCATTCGCAAGTCAATTTGGTCCTCACGGGTGACTCAACTGAACCTCTCGTTTACGATATTCGAGATATCACAGTATATTTTCATAAAGGAAACTACTCACAAGGTTGCTGAAAACTCTTCGACCGCAACCTTGTGAGTAGTTTCTTTTATGAAAATATACTGCGATATCTCGCATATCGTACCAACTGAAACACGTGGCGGACTGTATGCAGCACATTCACATGTAGAACATAATAAACGAGAGGTTCAGGTGAGTCTCTCGTGAGAATTAAACTAAATTGCAACTGAGCGTACTTCAAGTGCAATTATCTTTACTTGCTTCATGATTCCCACTGTATCCAACTTGTGCATCAGTCAATCGTGCCAACTTAGAGTACTCTGTACTCTACCCAACTACATTGTGAAGCTGAGCTTACATAGCGCAATGACCAGGTATATCATTGAATGAATATTGTAACAGCTGAAACTAGATGATCCACCGACTAACTAGCTGTCATTATATTTTCAAATACGCAAGTCTCATATGTCAACTTCAACACCCTTCAGTAAATTACAAACCTCAGCATCAGCTTCTCCTAGTCGCTCATATCACGCCGATTGATAGCGCGCACTCTCTTCAGCTTTAGAAAAGTTCATATGTCACCCCGTATGATCAAACCAATTCAAAAGATTTGGCTCATGGTTACGCCGCACACCGGATTCTTTGATTGGAATCTTTGCGCGCTAGTGCCATAACTATGTGACACTAAAGGTCTGGACTAATTCTCTCAGGCAACGTTCTGGTGATGAATTTCGTGGCGCCATCGACAGACCGGACGATTCTCTTTTGGCTCGATGAGCCGGATAGAAATGATCCTGATTTGCTGTTTCTGACACCAGGAGTCGCACCCCAAGTAGGTATCTTTGTATTGGGCGATGACATTGCTCTTTATACATAATGGTTTTATTTGTTATATTGTTATATTTTGTAGCAGTGGTTCTAGTACCGAATGATTCAAACACTATTCCACACATGTCTAGCACCCTCCTTACAGAGTAGACGCTGTTTGAGCCTGATCCATCTTAAACGGGTCTCCATTTCTTTGTAACTGCATGTTCTACTATTCAGAACCTCTAGACTAATCACTTACCGGTATTTATACCCTGGAACGATACTACTGATTTGTCTTGAGGAAATCGGGATATAGCTTCTGCCGTAATGTAGTAGCTACTTTACCATCCAGATAAAGATGTTGCAGATGCCAGCACCAATAAACTTTCAGACTGGTCAGCGATTAGACTTATCCAACAGCAAAGTGCCGGCGTTGAAGTGATTCGATGCAGTTAAGGTCATTTTGCGCCGTGTATCTGTTTTCAGGTTCTGTTACCAGGTTTCATCAGTTTCACAATGCTATAGCTCGAGATGTTTTTTGTGAAAAGACAATGGATAGCTTGGGTAGCTAGATAATTGAACTGCAAACTTTCATCACCAGTCTATTACCACTGCTTTGTGAGTCAAAGTGCGTTTTACTTCCACTCACGGCCCAATGATATTATCCCCGAGATTTATGAGGATACGTTTGCAAGCAAATTGTCCATCTCAAAGAACAAACCAACAGCCAAGTACCTCACTAGCTGAAAATGTTTGTACTAGAGAAACCGCTTGCTGCTTCCCTTGGTATATGTTGGCATTACTGGTATATAGTGAAGAATACTTCATGGCTTCTGTCATCCAGGCTTGAAAAATGGGGATTTCTGCTTCGAAAAACTTTTATGGCCTGATCCAAGAGCTATGTTTTTCACAGAATGTGGCCAGGAGACATTTATCGTAGTATGCGAACTTAACATATGAAATGGGAATGTTCCCAGCTGAGGTTCATGAAACCCATAGAGGAACCTACTCGTATTCCTATTAGTAGCAGCGTACTCCGCAAAATCCGTAAAACTATAAAGCCAAAGCATCAACTCGTATTTGTAAAATTCAGCTTGAAAGCGGTATTGTAACTTACCCTGGAGTTTCAGGATCTTTTCCCCTTCAAATTTGTCATTGAAACTCCCAACGAGATCATCTTGATCCAAATCGGTCTGGATGTTTAGTAGCTCAATCGTGTTAAAATTAACGCTTCCACATGCCATGATATGCGAGTCAGAAACCACTAGATCGGAGACATGCACAGCTAGCACTGCGGTATGCAATTGAAGCTCACGTAACAGGTCTTCACGTAACTTGAAAGAGAGATGAATAGATCCGGTTTTATAAGCATGGTGAGAATAAGGCAATGAGAAAACGTTCGTCATATGCATAGACAAAAAGTGTTTTTCAGGAGAGGTCTGGATGTGAATGCATTAGAGACAGGTATTTTCTAGATGTCTGAAAAGGTCACCCTCCAATTTTGTGTGTATTTCGCTGACGTGATGTAATTTAGTTAGTCTTACGGGGTAGCAAATCTAACCAACCTAAAAGCAAACTTCAGATAGACTTAAGAAGATGTTTCTGTAATCTTGACTTTTTACGTGTAACTGCTTTTTTCTCTCTTCAGCATCAATTTCAGTCAGAGAAATCATAGTTGACCGGTCCTTTGTTACGTTTTGGATCTTCGATTTGAGTTTGACGTGAAAGTAGTATGGTTGCATTTATTTCACTTAGCAGTCTCTTCATCAGTTAGTATGCCGCTGAAGATACCAAGAACTCTGGGTTCATATGGAAGTCTTTTCTGCTGTATTCCATCCTCTGTAAAGACCCTGGGGTTGTCTTGAATTCATGCCATTTCCTGAAACTTAGTTTATTCAAACTACTACGTAGGGTGCACAGTAGTTGCATAGGCTTTTGTTGCTTACTCACAGCTCCTCTAAAACCACAGACCACACATAAAATGCTCTAGCATCCAATCAGTAACTGAATCTGAGCTGCACGCAATACGTAAGACGCTCAGAGACACAAAAATGCACCAGACTCTGACGGAATAGAGACTATTGATGAACAATTTACTGAAAATCCTGCCTGTGAACGGTTCTCTGAAATATACTGTGCCGGCGTCGAATGGCAGGCTATAAAAGAGCTGCGATACGCCTGGTTAAAATCTACAGTCACTTCATGTATGCTGAACTTCTGACAATGTTTACTGATAAAAGATAGTTCCCACTGTTTTGGTTTGCAATTAGTAAGACACCGTCAAATGAATTCACAGTACTTTGAAACTCCAAGTTCCCCCGGTCAGGCTTAACGTTTTAGTGAGGACCATTAAATTGTGCTTTGAATTCATTTCCCTCATTCGCGTCCGGTACTAGGTTACCAAGAACGATCCGTACAGACTCGTAGTTTGTATTGCCTCGCATCGTTCGATGTACTAAACCGTTTTGCACAATATTATCAGATAAGAATGTAATTTTGTGGTTTCTGTTTTATTAAATTAACGAACATTCATAGCTGTTTATCTCACCACTTTTCTCCGTTACACATGTACAGAACTGCCAAAGAAAGTCCCAGAAACTTTATACCAGGTGCTTGATGAAACCGTGAGAATAGGCAGGCTATTCAACCGTGTAGGTCTAAGAACAGCCCAGTCAGTGTTATTAAAAAAACAAAGCTTGCTTCTGGAATGACCTCAACGGTAGATATCTACACCTTTTGGCAACACGGTCTGGAGTTCCCACATCGAGCTTGAGTAATCTAGAGTATGCTTCTCACAGATATCATCAGACTGACCTGCCACTTCGTCCACATCGATTCAAACACTGAATTAGGTCAGAGCCTTACTAAGTGGATTAAGAATGGGGTGACATAAGGAACGGAGGAAAACTAACTGGTACACGGATTGCGAGGGTAGGCTGGATTGGGTGGGTTATCTGTGAATAATGCTCAGTGGGCTGAGGCGGACATGTTTCAAAGTGACTACTATTCATATATGAGCATTTACCGTCACGTTCATTCAATGATATTCTAATCCAAAACTTCACATCGTCCTCGTATGCTTAATAATCCGGCGCGCGATGGCTTGTTGTAACTTAAGGAGATCACACATCTGGAGTCGTTTCAATTTCATCCTTAGTGAGTCACATCCCGGTTTTCGTGAATAATCTACCATACAAATTATTGTACAAGCAACTCACAAAAATTTCACTAAATTCAATTATGTTGGCGTACTCCGTCGAATGAGCTTTGGGCAAGTTCTTGGCGGGAAGTCTTTGACTTCCGACTGGTATAAAGAATTCGAAAGACGCTTCTGGAAGTGGAATGGCATTCAAAATAATAAAGAAGAAATTAGGTTGGTGAAGAGAAATGTTGATTTTTTTCAACAACTTATGTCGAGGAACTACAATTCCACTATCTAAATATATGTATGTGGTCATCCTCGAAAACAAGTTCTGACGCTTTTTGCAAATATCCGCTTGATATACATCTAGGCTGAGATACGTGGGAACCTTCTTGTGTGAGGAAACAGCGACCGCCCATGTCTTAACGGTCTACGAACTCTAGTGCTTGTGTTTTACCCGCCTAATGTCAAATTATGTGCCAAAAACAGCGCTTTCTCTCGTGTTTATCTATAAGCATTAATTTAATTTTTCAGGTTTTAGTTACCATTAGGTTACAGTTAGGTGAAAACCCATTCAACTTGGATGCCACACTAACTGTCGCTGCAACTGATGTTGATTGGTCACGTGACACATTGTTGGCAAAGCACCATCCCGCGATTAAATAGCTCGACTCAATAAAATCGCACATTTCGAGAGAAATTGCAGATTTAATTTCTAGTAAAAAGGTGAAAGGATGGTAAAAAATGAACTGGATCGATCATGTTCAGCCGCCGACCAGGGAAATTAGTATACACAGTCTATGACGCTGACAAATACAGGGGTTACTGGCATATCGTGGTCCAATTATTACTTGTATAGGGCGTTTTTTTCAAGAAATGAAGTTAGTGCCTTTAGATTATTCGTTAACGAAGTCAACATTCGAACACGATGGTTATATACTGATTATACCACAGACTAAACAATGTAATTTGCCAAGTATTCTGCCTACCTTGTTTTTGAACCAATGCTGTCACTTTATCGTGGTAGTCAGGCCTCATTGTTCCAATTGACTCTTGGGTTATCCTAGCTGGGAGTTAGTTCATTACGGCTGATAGGACAAAGCCCGGCAAAGCATACCAAGTCTTCGTGCTATAGGAAATCGTTTTACAGAAAGAGCTTGAAGGCAAATTCGTGATGTTTTCTGTAACAGGAGTTTGAGGGCCACCAGGTATTTTCTACAGCTACCCAGACTGTTCTTATTAACACTGGAGGGACTGGTAAGGTAAAGTCAGTTCAAATACTGCACAACTAGATCAACCAATGGTTGACAGCGACCACTGGTGAACCACCCAGTAAGGTCACAAAAAAGCGAATCTTTCCATGAACCCTGTTAGTCCTCAGGCCCTTCAGCCAAGTGGGTCAGACTATTGTGTCACTGGCTTCAGCGAAATTTCCTCAAGAAAACCGCAACAACTGTTGCCACGCAGTTCCGAATCTTGGGTCAGAGGTGACAAAAAAACACCCGAGAAAAAACGAATATAATCTTATCATCTTGTCCACGAGACCTTCGAATCAACGTCTTAGGATGGAGTGCCTCAATCAAGCCATTTCTTCAGCCCGGGCAACCATGAAGTATCTCATGTCTGAAAAGTCGGTGTTTGAGGCCCACTTAACATGCGGACACGTGGCGTGGGCCACTTGAATGACGGAAAAGTGGCTTTACGTCTTGCCTGAGTGCTTATTAGTCACACTGCTGACTGTAATCGAAGGGGTTAGGATTTAACTACTAACTGCGAAGTTGAGGGTTCTAATGCCCCAGAAGATTCGTAAGACGCTCACTGCTGACGGTTTCCAACAAAGCTTTCCGGCACACACCGACTTTATTTCCAGAGTTAAACATCTATATATGCAGTGTTCATTTGAATTCCCCATGTGGACGGAAATAAAACACGTGAGATCACTCCTCGGTTACTCATTGCACATACGCTATGATGCATCGGAATGGCTGCACTTAAAAGGGGATGAATATTTAAACAGACGTTGTAAGTAGTGAACCGCTGGTGTTTTTTGTAGATGGTTCCTGAGATTGTCACTAAAAGTGTGGTGTCTGCAGGAAGCCCTTGTTTCCTTGAAAAAACATCGAATAGGACCTGCATTTTCCCTAGATTATGCCAGAACAGAAATGTCAGTAACAAAAAATTCAACTTACTAAGGCTGTAAGCGTTCAAATGTTCCTCACATTTCACCACTTTGATACCTTTTAAGAAATTTTGTAAAAATGCGTGCGTTATCACTCATCCTTCCGCAGGATTCAGGTCCAATGGTAGAAATATAAAACTGTAAGTGGAAATTGGTCCTCACAACCCTGAACTGCATGAGAAAGGAACTAAGTAAGTGGGCTCCTGAATATTTGCCCTGCGATATATACATGCATATATATATATACATATATATATATATATAAAGTCTGCCACAGACACTCACATATGTCGTAACTTATATTAATTTGTTGGTGTACCAAATCTACACAAATAACTTTGTATGAAAAATTCACCAGCCGTTCCATCATCCCGTGACATTTACGGGGTCCTGATAAGCCTTTTTGTGTTTTGTAGCTGGATTACTACGTTCGTTTTTGTGTTATTGCTGAATTTCTCCTTAAATAATCAAATGATTTTTTTTGAAGATTTGTGTCTTGGTACCTTTTCAGTGCGTTTCCAAGTGTATTTATCATGAACTTTGTGTACCTCGATTAATTTATACTCTCTGGTCTAGTTCAGCATGCAATTTTCTATCATTGTTAGATAAAAGGGCCCCGTTCATTGTGAGTCTCCCCACCTGTGAACTAAATGAACGTAGCTAACAACATTCCCGCAATCGGTCACCTGTTCTTGGTACTGCCGTAGTTTCACGCGTTTCGCTTTTAGGTCAGCGGTGCCGAGATTTCGAACGAAGGGCTTAGTGTTCGCAAATGGTTTTTAAGGCCATCCCCATACTTATTCAATTTAATCAGACTTGAATATAAAAGGCTAACTGAATACCAGTCGGTACGCCACAGTGAATACCTTCAAGGTCGGCTGATTGCAGTGAGAGTCCTCTCATTGTAAATTGTGCGGTAACTTCTTGGACTTTTCCGGACTCCGCGTCAAAAACACGTCCATATATCAAATTTTCTTCGATTAAGTCGAGTGTGGCCCGCATCCCCACTTTTACCTGTCCATCTTTCGAGATCTAAAAAGACGAATTGAGAGTAAAATGCGGGTATTAAAGTGGCAGACATTTGGTAGATGAGTGAAATTCGAGTGAAATTGAGTGAAGTAAAGAAGAGTGGAGTCGAGTGGAGTAGAGTGGAGTGGAGTGAGTGGAATGGGTTTTTGGACGATTTTGTGTGAATTGTTGTTTTCTCGGGGCTCAGTATGTGAGCTTGTGTGAATTGTGGATGAGCGGATTATGGAGGCTACCCAGAACTATGTAAATTAGGAGTAATGTAGGAGTGAGTTTCTGTGTGTGGTGTGTGGTGTGTTTTGCAGACCGTGTTTTGTTGTATCGGTCTCCTATGTGGTATTCGGTTGTTTGACGGAACAATTGCTTTACTACAGTTGATGGTCTATTATACTATGCATTTGTTCTTCCTCTTGTGACTTTGGAAGGGTTGTTAGACACGGTAGTTGTTGTGGGTTTTGTGGTTTATTAGGTGCGGCATAAGATGATGCGAATTGGACTGTAGTGGAGTGGAGTGGAGTGGAGTGGAGTGGATGAATTTGGATCGAAAATCAAACTTGATGCAGAGAATGATGGAGCACAAATTAACAATGGCAATATAAGCACACCAGATATAAAACGAACCAGTCAAGTGGGAGTATCGAATTTAACGGATTAAAATTCCGGGGACAGAATAAAGAAACAAACAAAATAAAAAATCAACGTACAAACGATAAGCACCTTCAGCTGTAACTTTAAATTTATTGAGTTAGCTGCAACTGCATTCCAACATAATTTGGTGAGCGGACGATCGTCAACGCAGTCCACAACTTTGTTCGGACTGTAATACGATATTTCTAGTGACCTCAGTCTCAAGAAATTTAAAGGTTGAAGGCCTTAGTGAAGTAGGAAAAAGAAGCAGAAAGCTTGCCGACGCACAGGATATCGGTAAGATGTTTCGTAGCATTACAATCTAACCTCAAGTATTCAGAAGAAGATGATCCTTTTCCGCACTGATGAAATGCACCCCTATCTATGTGGACCGAAAGAACATAGGGCTTACGGGAAGGGAAGATTTAAGCAACCACACCAGCTGACAAGACTCTTTAATTGACCTTCGACGCTAATCTACTGTTCTAATCGGAAAAGGTCCTACTGACTGGTTCTTCATCTTCCCTTAAACTTGGCCAAATTGGTGACCTGCTTACGTGGCTTGATGGAGTCTTCATGT